GACTTCATTTAACACACCACACTGTATTACCCTTTGCATGCATGATGGATGTAACTTGTACTGTACTAATACATGTAATAATTTAATATTGATTAAATATTCACATAATATACCACACTTCAAATATCACAAACGCTGCCTATTACAAAATCAATGCTTTATGAGCTTACCTACTAAAACACACAAGTACTCACACATTACAGTATGCCGAAACATTGATAAAGAATACAAAAATACTATTGGTTCTACTAATTGTACCATTACCATTATCTACATACTTACTTAATCTATTTAAGATTAAACATTCACCACGTTACTTGGTATTATAAAAAAAAAAAGAAAAAAGAAATTAAAAATGCATGTTGTGGTGTTAAATCTGTAAAGGTAAATCAATATTTTGTTGGATTTAGATTGAGTTTAGACAACACATCTATTCAACCTGTAATATGACATTTGTCAGTTTATATTGTACAGTCAACAGCAACAGCACAACAGGCTATAGAATTTTGAATATTATCTCTAGTGCAACAGAACAAAATCCGTCAATGTGTAGCTTGATGAGCTGCTGTCTGTACACTATAATACATGGAAACATACCTCTGAAAGAGGAATTAGTTCAGAATCACTGACATCTAAACTATGTCCTTGTGTGGCCTTTATCTCTAATATTTTAGTCTCCGGATGTGTACGGAGTTTGAACCTCTGCTTGTTGTTATTGGATACTACTCGCTCAATATCCAAGGATGTGTAGCCACGAAAGGATTTATGCTGAAGTATCTGTGCCACAGGTAGGTAGCCTTCAGGACTGCAAATAAGATGTGCAACTCAATACCTGTATGGATTTTATCAGTGTTTTGAGTTAGTTAAAGGTAATAATAAATATTCAACATGTTTGATTGTTGAATCTATTTGACCATGCACAGACAAGTAAAGTTTTTTATAGAGTTCTTTTATTATGTGTTTGCGATTGTTACACATAGGAAATGAAACTATTTTTTCGAAACTAAAAGGCGTACATTTATTTGTTTAAAGAAACTAACGTTTTGGGCCCTTTACAGGTCCCACGATCACGTAAATTTTTCGATAAGGGCGTAAATGCCAAAACCGAAACAACGGCGAAAAATGCTTAAAGCAGTCATGGCGAATGTTAACAAAAACTAAAACTCTCCTTGATATAGCACTTACTAGAACCAATTCACGGACTCTACACATTAAAGAACCATAACATTTTAAAGAAAGAAAAAACATTATACGAACATTTTCCTTCTACCTTATAAGGTTTCAATCAAAGGTTTTCACCATTGGGTCAAGTAGTTATGAATGAAAACATTGGAAAATCACAAAAACGAACATTTCCTGTCCTTTGCAATACAAATAGGAAATTATATTTTATTAGCAACACTATCAACAGGTGCAATAATACAGGGGGATAATTTTTAAGCAAAATCAACTTTGATTTCCAGCTCAAGAAAAATGAAATAACGATATAGCGAAAATTTGGTATGGTAAAATTTAAATGGGATAATAACCATTAAGAATAGTTAAAGACAGATATGGTAATTTAATCAACATTAAAAAATTTATAGGTTGGACTGGATAAAAAAGGTCAACGAAAACAGGATTTAAATTTGTTATTTATAGATTTAAAGTTTATTAAAAACATTGTTCCAGCACTACGTCCGTAAAATTGCTATTATTTTGTGACCTTCAAATTTTAGGTTATAAGTATTTTGAAAAAACGTACCTCAGAGAGAAACCTTCCTTGAGTGCCCCGTGGCGCAACAGCCACGACAATGCCTTACTTAATTGTGCGTCCTGGCTGCTCCTGTAAAAACACCACGAAGTCAAAACACCACTGCGATTGGCCGATTGCCCCGACTCAGATTACAAATTTCAACCACACGCACATCCAAAATGCTGACGAAGGCAAAACATAAAAACATTTGTCTTTTGCTTTGTTAAATAGATACACCTGCAACCTGCAGGTACAAATATATCAAACCAGTTGAAATAAACAAATAAAATTTACTAGCGCTTGGAAAACAAAGACGGCTTGCATCGAGTACTAGGGATGCACATTTTACGATTCGATTTTTATGAAGATCGATTCAAGTGTATACGATCGGCGATCTAGCGATTTTTTGTACCGATTCATTTCAATGCGATTTTTAAATAAATCGACTCAACATTAAAGCGAATCGAAACGTTTAATTTAAACGAAACAGTCTCTGACTGAACCTTTATTTTTGCCAGCAAGAAAAGCAGCTTGGCAACATCTAAGTATGTAATACAATAAGTTTACTATTATTGGCGATAGTCGCTACTTTCGTGCCGTTTGAACGTCTTTCCTCACTTGGCTACTAGCCACTCTAAATTAAAATTGTAACCCACTGAAGCCATAAAAAGGCTGTTTTTTTTTTATACGATTTTTCTGAGATCGATTTAAGAGAGAAAGATCTGATCTGTGAATCGATTCAAAGGCATATTAAGATCCATTACGATCCAAAAAATCGATTCAAAGCAAAAATCGCACATCCCTATAGCGAGTACGAGTGTTGTGATATGACGATCAAACAAAAACGTAAGTTTTTAAGATTCCCTTATTTTCAGTTCAAAAATTTGTTCATTCAGAGTATGCAAATGACGACGCTTTTCAAATTTCTTAACATAAATAATGAAATACATGTTAAATAGTCTCGTTACAAATTAATAAGCGCTAATACTTAGAATAATAACGCATAGAAACCTAGTCCGCACACGCTAAGTGAGGCAAATTGAAGTGCGCCCAAAGGGCTTATTTATTTTATTTTTTATTTTTTATTTATGGCACAATGTACAGACATCAGATACAGAAAGTGAGGAAAATAAAAACACTTAAAAATTAATACAACAGGCATATCTGTGCCCAATTATTACTGTGCTCAACATTCATTTTAAAACATTTATATACAGGGTGTAACCGCAAGGTGTAGTCATATTAAAGGAGCCAAACCTATACTTGATCTAGACCCTCTGTGCAAAATATCAAATAAAAATAAGTGACTTTTAATGTTGATATAACTTTAATTATGTTTGTATAAATAGTGATTGTCCGAAACAACCACTGCGTCACAACTCTATTGCTAGTAACGTTACTACGACTTCACAAATTCATTAATGAAACCTGGGCGGCCGCAAGCGGGGCGAAAGAACAGCTGACTACAATTGAAATGCCACTGTAAAAACATGATTTGAATATGTTGATAACACGTTAATATTAAGTAACAAAATCTTTAAATACCTAGAAAAATCGAATTATTTCTAACAATATTATTTTATGCCATACCTAGGTACGTACTTATTTACATACAATTTAAAGGATATTTATTTACTTATTAAGCCCGTAGTTACGCACGCCTTCATCGTATACACATTCTACATAATTTTGTATTAATACATTTATTTACGACAATTTTACAATAGTGGATATTTTTTTAATTGGTACTTACCTACTGTGCAATTCATACACGTTTTAATGAATTTCCTACGAATTGTAATTCACTGTTGTACAATGTACGAAATATTGACTTGTTTACGATAATTTTGAATAATAAGTACAATCACTACACGCACTGCTGGCACATTTCACACATTTACAGGTAAGGTTCAAAATGCCGACCTCCATGCAATATGCATATTTCCGTGCGTCGGTACAGAGACTGCTCTACTCTTTGAAGCATCTGCCGAGTGATTTGACTAAACGCCATTTCGATTCGCTGCCTCCTTTCTTCTGCGCTTTCACAGGACTCCGCATAAACAATATTTTTATATGACCCCACAAAAAAAATCGAGCGGTGTCAAGTCTGGGGCCACGCTGGCCAGGGTACAGGACCTCCCCGCCCAATCCACTGCGGGAGACGGTCGTTCAGATGGGAACGTACATTTCGAGCAAAATGTGCGGGTGCTCCATCGTGCTAGAAAGTCATCCCGTGTTCCATCACGAGTCTCACGTATTGTGTCACTGGCAGGGCCATCAGAACGTCATCCAAGTCTTCTGTTAGGAATCTTAAATAATTGGCCCCATTCAGACTTGCCGGCAAAAACACTGGACCGATGACGGCACAACCTATTATACCAGCCCACACGTTAATCCGCCACTGGTGTTGAAAATTTGATTCCCTTGATACGCGGGGATTCAAATGAGTCCAAAAATGTTCATTATGCATATTGATAATGCCCGCACGCGTAAATGACGCCTCGTCTGTCCACAGTACCGACGAAGCGAAGTCGGGAGACCTCCCAACCTGGTCGCGGTAGGTACCAGCGGCAAAATGCCAAACGTAGATCATAGTCCGCTTGTAACAGCTCCTGCGTTCTTTGAAAATGGTATGGGTGCTGGCCATCATCCCGTAGCACACGCCACACACTCATATGGTTCACACCACCAAAGGCTGCCGCAGCACGACGAGTACTTGTCTTTGGATTGCCGAGAAAATGTTCCAAAACATCTGCCTCGAATTCTGGGTCTCGTGAACTCGGCCGGCCTTCAGAACTGGAACCACGGAACGATCCACTATTATGAAGTCTCATAACCATTTTCCTGAAGCATTCCACAGCAGGAAATGGTCGACGTCGATTTTCTGGGACGCCATCAATAAACTTTGCCCAATAAATTTGGCGAGGCTGGCGCAAGCTCCCATCGGCTGCGCCTACGCACAACATCATCTCTTAGTAATCACTATTGCTTAAGCGTGACATAGTTTAAATAAACACAAAAACAAGACACAAACAAAACGATGACACCTATTTAGTCCTCACAACGCAAACGGCAATTACAGACTGTTACAAAAAATTAAAAAATAGCACCTCTGCCTCAGCGGCGGCACATCAAAGGACGCCGACTGAAACGCAAATTTTGGAATATAGGGTAACGTTTTCATAATGTACCTACAGGGTGAAATTAAAATTATTACCATCCTTTTGAAATAAGACCCTTCTCCTGATACAAATTACATCATTACATACACATTAAACGAATACCTATATCCTACGTCTACGACCTTCAAAGTTGCACTGCATACGCCTTTGTTTGTAAACAAGCTCTGACCATCACCCGTACCACTTCCACATAATGCAAGAACTGACTGAGTGATTACGGATATACTACACTAAGGAGGCAGTCACTCATCGGAAACTCACGACGTCCGAAACGAAAGCCTAACACACTAACGACTACACCATGGAGGCAGTCGACTATAGGAATCAAATCCACGACCTCCGAAACGAAAGCCTAACACTCTAACCACTACACCATGGAGGCAGTCGACTATAGGAATCAAATCCACGACCTCCGAAAACAAAGCCTAACACTAACCACTACACCATGGAGGCAGTCGACTATGGGAATCAAATCCACAACCGCCGAAACGAAAGCCTAACACTCTAACCACTACACCATAGAGGCAGTCGACTATGGGAATCAAATCCACGACTTCCGAAAAGAAAGCCTAACGCTCTAACCACTAGACTATGGAGGCAGTCGACTATGGGAATCAAATCTACGACATCCGCAAAGAAAACCTAACACTCTAACAACTACCCCATAGAGCCAGTCAACTATGAGAATCGAATCCACGACCTCCGAAACGAGTCTAACATTAACCACTAATCCACATCACCATGTATAAAATCAAATGCTGGCGGCGAAAATCAAAGGTGATATTTTTGCCGCCAAAGTTGCCGCCAAAGGCTTGCGACTTCGCTACGATTACGTATCGCGTACGCAAGGCGACTAATCTTGATACTTTGTTTATTTAGGTAAGATTTTTTATGGTTTTACACTATTGCTAATTTAAACTATTCTAAAATATTTCTTTAGATATTATTAGGAAGTAAGAACCTTAATAGGTTCAACGGATATTAATTATTTCAATTTCACCATGTAATAAACCCATACCCAGAAAGTTGTCGTGTGTAGATAAGTCAAATTAAGCGTAAGCCTGTTGTTAGAAACGTGCGCTCAGCAATAGACGTATGTAAGTTAGTAAAGTACTATTTTTTGCACAAGGTTTAGTCCACTGCACTTGCATAGTAAGTACTGGTTGGAAACTTGACATTCTCGCATCTTTGAAGATTTCGGCAATTATCTCCGAAATCCAAGTTTTCTCACGATATTTACATTTCCAAGCAAGTGATGAAAATTTATTTTATTTTTATTTTTTATTTTTTATTTATAACACAATGTACAGACATCAGATACAGAAAGTGAGGAAAATAAAAACACTTAAAAATTAATACAACAGGCATATCTGTGCCCAATTATTACTGTGCTCAACATTCATTTTAAAACATTTAGATATACTTAAACAGACACTAAATCAATCATAAAAAAAAAATTAAATTAAATTAAAATTACAATAATTAATTCGTGGTCAACGATCAAAACTAATTTCTTGACGTTTACCGACCTTCAGGTTGCACCTTTACGATGAAAGTGTCCCAATACAAAATTTCAACTTTTTGGGAATAAAAAAGAAAATAAGATTTCAAGTTTTTTCATATTTTCATATTATTTTATTTATTACCTACTCTTGAAGTACTAAAGGTGATGGCCTTATTAGTCTTTGAAAATAATGAGGAAAAATGGAACTTTACAACTGAAAATTGTTTCTGATCATTTTAATGTTCAACAATTTAAAAACATAATTTACAAAAACTAGTCGCCAATAGGTCTTTTTTTTAACGATTTTTTGTTATCATTTAACGTATTAAGAATTAAGTCTTTTTAATGTTCATCAGCTAAGCAAGATGTCATAACCCTTGATATTGTTTTGTGGTCCCTGTTTCACAATTAAAAAAGAAGAAAGTCCACGAAACAAAAAAGTAAGTCCCTTTAAAAAGTAAGTTACTAAAAAAATTTTTTTTTTTTAAATTTTAAGCGACGGGTCGAACAAGTCGTGTACCCGGTGGAAAGCGTCACGCCTGTCCATAACAGTAGCACTGCCGCTCGAAGGCTACTGCTACGGCGTCCATCTCTCTGAGACATAGTTGACAAGTCCCATGTGCCTGTAATTTCACCAGCACCCTTACCCTTCAAAACTGTAACACGGTAATGTGGCAGTACTACCCTGGACGAACTCACAAGGAGCTCTACTGCTACTAGTGATTTTTGAATATGATTTTCGGAACGAAAATGGCTCAAATGCTAATCCGTCAGTGGCAGCGTGTTGTCTTTGCAAATGCAGATTCAACAATAAATGCGGCGTTAATATTTCGACGCGGGAGTAGAATTTTTAAACTGAAAGAACAAAATGAAAGGGACCTTTATGAATCAGTGCTATTCGAGCTTTAATTGCACAATTTCATCTTCACCACAGTGTGACTAATGTAACAAAATATTTTTTTAAGATGGTTTTACGGTATAAACTCATTTTTTAATTTTTTGATTTGGGTCGCTTTCATTGTAAGGGTGCGAAGTATTAGTCGGATAATTGCGTCATATTGCGTCATGCGTTAGAAGAAACATATAGCCGCCATGCGTTAGAACAGTACCGACGGATAGAAAGAGACAAATTTCATTCATTAAAATACAATAGATGAATGCGTATGGTAAAAAGAAACAGAGATAACTTTAAATATGTGTTTTTTAGAGGACATTAGTTTTATTAATGGATATTAAATGGAAATTTGTGTATTTTGTATGTTTGAAGATATGAAGTTAACGAAACCATATTACGTTATTATGTACTAAGTTTTAAATAATAGTTTTATTATGAACTAGTGTATTTTGGCAAAGTAATCGATAATATTTATTTTTCATTAAATGTTCACACGCATATTACATGAATAAAATAATAATAAATTTAGTAAATTATAACATAGTAATAAGAATATGGCATTAAGTACTTTATCATTTACAATAACATGCCTGAATTTCACAATTTTTTCAAGTTACGTAATTTGGTTGTATTATGATACTCAATAGAGATGTGATGTGACTATTTATTTTCGTTAAATGACATCAGCTGATCGAAACTGTTCATGGCGAAATTTCCATAAATAACGTAGTTTGTACTAAAACAACTTTGCTAAATAGTTTCATACCATTAACTGAATCCGACCTTCAAATATGACTACACCTTGCTGTTACACCCTGTATACTTAAACAGACACTAAATCAATCATAAAAAAAAATCGAGAGAAATAAAAAATAGAGAGAATGAGAATATGCTATTCACTTTACATTAATGCTAGCAGTGACCTCCCTCTTAAATGCTGGGACACTGCAGTTAAAGATATCACAATTAGTACATATTTCATTATAATACCCACACATCCTATGTAGAGGATTATTTTGTGATATATTGTTTTTTGAAATTTACACGTGCGGGCGGGCCTTCAGTGCTCAATGTCAACTTGCACCGCGAACAGATCAAGAATTTTAGCTAAAAATGACGAAATGTGCGGTAAATGGGTGTAAAAATACGTCAGACAAACATAAAATAGATACTAACATCACATTCCACAAGGAAGTAACACGTTTCAACTTGTATTTTTATATAAATATTCACTAAAACCGAAAATTAACCTACTACTAAAACTAGCCTACATGAATTTGATTTTTGCCTCACTTGTGACAGTTCGTTTGATATGAAACTATCACTCTACGCGTTATTATTCTAAGCGCTAATATTTAATTAATTAAGGAAATAAAAAGTTACATTATAGATTTATTATTATAGACTGGTATTTGAAAATGTGGAATGAGAGTGTAGGTACTTCTACTGAAAAACATTTTATTAATGAACGGTTTTACATAATACATTTCACCCTTTTCCCATCGCGGTAAGCAGAGACAATAACTTTCCACTAGTCCACTTGCTACAATTTTGAAACATATCGTTCGCCTAATTTACATGCAACATACATGCGCACATATCGCACTGCTAATACAATAGTGTATTAAGTAAAAAAGTGAATTTATTCAGAATAGCTGAAAAACTAATTACTCAGTCCCCGTGAAAGATTATTATAGTTTATGTATAAGTTAATATTTATTACACATCTAAACAACTCCAGTTTGAAAATAAAAGTAAAACTAACTACAAGTAACTAGCTACAAGCCGTTTGTCTCATTCTGGGTTAAGTAGATATATTTTCATGGTTTCTTACAATATTCCTTAGAGCATATAGGACGGGAGGCGCTATTAGCGTTATTTCTCAAACAAAACTTTCTGCCACTTTTTGAGGGGCGGGGGTAGTACTACAGGTGCACTCAAATGCAAAATTGAATTGTGTCACTATGGTCTCACACAAACAAAAGTCTACAACACTAGCTTATTTTTACAAATACACAGATAAAACACACATTCATGTCATGTCTGTACACAAAATAGGCCTATGAAAATAAATCGATTCTCATGAATATACTAGAGACGGAAATTATCGACGTGATGGTGTCGATTGTATTACGTACTGGTTAATCATGTATAATATGAAAAATGTAATTCCACCCTTGGCTAGACTGGATGTAGTGAATTTCTTTTTCCAATTTTGTGTGTAGTGTTAGTGGTATTGTTTTACTTGTATTTGCCAGAGGAGATTGCCCATTGACTTACCAATAAATAGATGACAATAACCAAAGTCTAATCCAAAAACCGCGAAAAAATGTCCGGAGTTTTTTTTTCAGTTTATAGCTTTTACGGTCAGCGTTGGACCCAATGACAAGCATGGCCGGAGTGAACCTCTACAAACGTAGTGACATGTATAGAAATATTTTAAAAAACTAAAACATTTAATTTAAACTGTAGTCATAACAGTATTGCTTAATTTTGTTTGCCACAATTTAAAGGTCCAAAAACTATCCACATCAGCTTCTACTGGAAACATAACTGGAAATGACAAAATGTATCATATTTAGCTTCTAGTGAAAACTACTTCAACACAAGAGTGATGGAGTGGTCTTAATCTTAATGTCAATGTTAATTAATTTTATTTTTATGTTGAATTGTATACGAAATCACTTTGAAGTGCACAACTCTTATTACTTGAGTAATAAGAGTTGTGCAAATATATAGTATAGTACATACAAATATTGTAAATGTGAAAATAGCTGTGTCTCTCTGTTGGTAGTTATGACGTGCTGTAAGAAATGTTTTGATGGTTTGAATTTCTAGATTCCAACTAGAAGTAAACTCAAAGTTTCATGATCTCGAAAACCGATTTATAACAAAACCGTTATGCTTTCAGGGGATTTTGGTTGCTTATTACAAAGAAAAGATTAAGTTAGTTTGTTTTGTAATATTCCTAAAATAACCTAAAAAAGTACATTTGGGATTACAAAATTTGAGCAAATATTACTTCGGATAAATGTATTTTCGGACTTCTGATTGATAACTCCAAACAGTAAAACGAATACAACAATATTTTGTTAGTTATTTATTACTAACATTTAATATAAAGTCGAACAACGTTGACCTTATGAGCCATCCAGTCCCGATCTAGCACCTTTTGACTTTTATTTATTTCCAAAAGTTAAGAACCAGTTACGCGGTCAACGATTTTCATCACGTGAAGAGGCTGTCGAAAAGTACGAAAAATATGTTTCAGAGATTGTCACGGAGGAGTGGCAAAAATGTTTTCAAAATTGGTTCATTCGTGTGAAAAAGTGCATTAACGCTAACGGAGAATATTTTGAAATACAATAAATTCATTTCTGACCATTTATAGTATTTTATCTTATTTATTCCGGAAACTTGAAGTGCGATCCACGTATTAACGATTTAATACTGTAAGGACAATGTAAGGACTTCAATAATATTGTTTGTTGTAATTATTAATTAATTATAACAAACTAGTGGAGTAATTTCACATAAAATAATTGAATATCAATTCAATAAAAATTTGAATATTAGTTTTTTGGAAGAAGTTTTTGTAACACTATTTTATTTTTTGTAAATAAATACTGCGTAGTATTTGTAGTAACTAGTAAATAAGACTGTTTATTTACTATTTTGTTATGAATACCTCTGAAATTGCCTCACTATTAGTTTTTTAAATAAAAAAATAGAGCCATGGATACACTATATATTCTTGTCTAGCTGTACTTGTCGTTGATGTTGCTTTGTAGCTATCCTGCTGACATGCATGAGAAATATTTTATAAAATTGATTTTTATTTCATACATACTAATTTAAACCGTAATTAAATGTAAATTTCAATTAGTTTATCAATATTTTTGTGTATTTGGAACCCAGAAACTGATCAATTATTAAATAGTAATTCAAATAATACTTCAATTGGCAACATTAATTTTGACAACAGGATAGCCGGTTGAAAATTCTACGCGTGAAGCAAAGATAGCAAATAATTCTACCAAAAAATCAATGAAATGACCACCGTAGACAATCGGGGCATAGAGTTAGGTCAGCTGACTCCACTTTTATCATTGGTCTTGTGATAAGTTGTGATTCTCCGCCATTCTCGGATCGTCTTTTCCGTCTTTCTCGTCCCGTGAGTTAAATTTCGATAATTTTACTATAAATTTGGATAATAATTGATTATTTTTCACTGGTGTTTGTGTTATTCAACGTGGATACTTTATAATTTATCCTGAATTTGTGTAAGCTAATGCTGAATTCTGCGTTTCTGCCAATGTCAAAAATTTGCCAAAACGGTGTTTTTTCTTGTAAAGTTAGACATTCTACTTGGTTTATTGAAGCATTGGAGTGATAAAGAAGTCTTTAATTGCATTTTTCGCTACTGTGCTTGGGGTAAAATATGTTTTTTTCGTGAAGTTATTCACTGGTAGGTTCCTCCCTTGTATCATGTGACTGCCTCCTAACTAGAACCTAAATTAGAGCTAATTGAAGAATTTGTCAGCAATGTCAATGAAATCTGTAATTTTATGTATTATGATAGAACTAATTATCCAATAATTTGTTTAGCATTTTCATTTTTATTAAACTTCATGTAAGAAAATATCTTCAGTATCCACCTAATATACCTTCTTATGTTGCTTATATGTAACACCCGGCATGTAAAAGCACTTAAAGTTGTCTATTAATATACAATTTACATTTTACAAGTATTAACTTGTGAAGTTTAATACAACATAACATAGTGTATCTATATGATGTAAGTTTTTTTTACTTTCTAAGTGATCAACTTTTCACTTTCCATAATAATTACGTATTAATAATTAATGATAATGTTGGTGTGAGAAACAAAGTTTTTTGGTGTCAGTATATTAATTTTTATTATCTATTGTTATAACATTATTTCTTAGCCAATGCCTACACCCCACTAATATTTGCTTTGTATAAATGTCTAAAACGATAACATAAAACTGTAACCGGTAATTAATTGCTTTATACTGACCACACATTTTATTCCAACTAAATATAAAAAGTAAATGCAAACATTTTCCAATAACCTTCTATTTGTCACATCATAGCCCTCTTAACAACCACAAAAACCTCTCAAAAACTGTCAATTTGTCTCAACATAACACCAAGTGTTCTAACTCTGATGTTGGCTGAATGGTCACGTAATACAACAAAGTCCATAAAAGTTGACTCGATTGTCGTTTTATCAGAAAACAATACATGAAATAGTCTTAATTAACATAACATACAGTACTACATACAGTAATAATGTTCAATAAAATAACCAATGAATTAGATTAACAATGCAATTGTCAACTTCTGCGTAACTGCAGCTTGGACTTTAGAAAATAGTAATTTAGGTCATGTGTAAAAAGTTTCCAATTTGTCACATTTAGCAATGACCTAAGTACTAAAAATCCAAATATGTAGGTATACTTTACAGAAATATTTGACTGTAAATTGTGTATGTGGAATAAAAATATTCTTGCATGAAAAAAAGTCTGTCTCAAATGACTGCATTACCACAAAAAAATTCGAATAAAATTTCACAACTTGATATTGTCGGTGTTTTGTAGAAAGGGCGTAAGAGACATTTCGTAGATTCTTCAGTGAATTTGTTTTAGGTTTAACAACTGCTTTAAAATTCAATTTTAAAACTTAAACTTACTTGATTTATCGAGTTCTTAGGTTTTCACTATTGTTACACATAGGAAATGAAACAATTTTTCCAGATAAACTCTAGTGAAAAAATTGGGTGGTTTGCATTAATATTAGATTTGATTGATGACTTCCGCCTCAGTCAACCGTGACCATGGGACCTGCAAAGGGCCCGAAATGTTGGTTTGTTTGAAAAAACAAATATACGCTATTTAAATCCGGAAAAATAGTTTCATTACTTGATTTAACTGAAATGTTAAAACACAACTTTAGTTAAAACTGAAAATTCTCCAGAATGTCGCTTACGCCTTGTACTCGAAATACCGCCGATATGTTAGGCAGTATTGACAGTGATTGATATTCCTTATCAGTGTATGTTGCTAACTTCAAGTAGACAGTCAGGTGACATAAATTTGCTTTTCTCCTCACATAGCATATACATTTCTGTATAAATAAGTTTCATGTTCTTTATATTTGTAATTAATTATAAATACCTAATTGCCTTGATTTTTATCAGGTCTGTTTACAAGACTTGACTTCTGTTGTTAGTTTTTCTCTTCTTCCTATCTATTCTGTTTTACTTACTCATGTTAACTAGAGCATGTTGTATGTAATTTTTTTTTAAAAGAAGGAATATGGTGTGTGCTAGTTTTATAGGATTCTTTCTATAGTATACTGGCTATTCTTAGTATTTAGTTAGTTTGTGATTTTTTATTTTTCTTTTTACTTATTTGATAGGTTGATGAAAAATGTAGTTAACTAATGGGCATTTTTAATGAAGCAAAATTCAGCAAAAACGTACAGTTTACAAGTTACTTTGAAACGATGATACCAATTTTGGCATATAATATTTGACACTTAATGTTCACATTTTCAGTACAAGAATAAAATATTACATCATTTATTGTATTATAATCATAACTCATTTAGAATTTTTTGCTTTTGACAGGGAACAGAATACAAAGGAATTCAAGATGGCGAAGACAGCGGGGCTGAAGACGATTGCCGATGAAGAAAAAGAGGAGATGTTCGGTTATGTATTCGCTGTATCCGGGCCCGGTGAGTGCTTTAGCATTGCTTGCATTATCGGCTATTTCAGATAATTTCAATCATCTAACTGCCAAAACCTTGTCATGAACTTTGGAGATCATTTCCAAAGTCGGAACATTTTGATCAGGGTTCATCTTGGTTGCTAGTTCACTTGCGTTTGAACTCAGTTTTTGACTACATGTTAGTGAGTACTTGCAACCAAAATCATCTCATCTCATCATCATCAGTCTCGGCACTCGTGTAAGGAACGCCACACTATTCCTCTTTAATAATGGTAAATGCACTAAAGTCAGAAGTTATTTAAATTTTGAACAACAAATATTGAAGTACATCGGATCACGTTCACGAATTCATGAGCTAGTGTGTAAATACGAGTCATAGTAGCTTATGTCAACACAGATTCATAGCAAAATAACCACCTGATCTAAAAATAATATTGTATCTAAATAACGGATGGACGGACAAGTGACAAGACATCGTAACATATTGATGATGTAAGGTTTTTTAGTTGCACCTTCTACCGCTTTTAGCGCAAATTTGATCACTGCAAGGATTGATAAGTGTATCGGTACACATTCCCTGGTATACAGGCTGTAGCAGAAATGGTATATCCATATGAATGATAACCTGTTTTGCTCCATAACTTTACTATAAAGACTAATAATACATACAAACATGAGCTCATGCCCTAGTCCCTAGGAGAGGCGAATAATAATTATAAATAAACTATTTTAATGATAATCCGGAGTCCAGACTGTATATTAGTTATTGTCACTTTATCGTCGATATGTACATCATCTTGATGTTAATTAAGAAATTAATGAAACACAAAATCAAAATTTCTATTTCATATGAGCTAAATTAACTTACACTTAAAATAGCCAAATTGAAGTTTATTCGAGAACAATGAGCAAGAAATTCGAGCAATTATTGTTCTAAATGCTAAAATAGAAACCGTTAAAATAATCTTCTAAATTATTACACAAGCTGTTCTCCTACGCGGCTGTATCGCATAGTTGATATAATAGTGTTTGTTGTGGTACAGTCGTGACGGCGGAAAAGATGTCCGGGTCGGCTATGTACGAGTTGGTGCGTGTGGGGTACAATGAACTGGTAGGCGAAATCATCCGTCTAGAGGGTGACATGGCCACCATCCAGGTGAGAATGCTTTTTGTTTATATGTTTCCTACATGTTTCCGACACGCAACACTTAACTGTCATTGGTTTTTATGGAGTTGGTCGCAGAATTAAAATACGATTGTGAATAATTGCAAATTTGATGATTCTGTTAGAGCCTTAGTACCCAAAGTGGTCCAGATGGACCCCCAGGGGTCCACGGGAGACTCGACGGGGGTCTACGTTGGCGTGACAAAAAATAATTTGGATATGGAATATGGTATGTAGCTGCAGGGGGTCCACCGGAACCAGCAAAATTTTGAAAATGATCTATGAGAAAACAAGTCTGAGTATCTCTGTGTTAGAGCGTCATCTGTGTGTCGTCGCGGCAGGCGTCTCTGTGTGAGAACACTTCACTTAACTCGTAAAATCATGTAGTCTTACCGTCACCGTGCTATGACTGAGACCAAAATCGTCTGCTGATAGGTAAAATCACGGAAGTGATGTTTGACACAAAATTGTATAACTATAGCCATGGTAAGAAAGTTAGGATCTTTCTGAAGGTGAAAATCGGTAATAAAAAAGCTATAAAGTATTATTAACAAAAAGCTATAAATTTAGAATTTACCAGTGTAGATTTTTAGAAACTTTTTGTGAAAAATATCATTTATTTGGTTTTACTTTTAAGCAGACCAAATATATGTTAACCTTTCGCCCCAGGACGTACCATAAAATTGAGATTCGTTGACAGTGTTTTCTTCCCGATTACGTGAACCCGAAAGGTTTCGAAATAAATTAAAAGAAATATAAGCACTCAAACACTCAAACATTCAGGTATACGAAGAAACATCAGGCGTAACAGTCGGAGATCCCGTACTTCGTACGGGCAAGCCACTTTCCGTCGAACTGGGCCCTGGGATCCTCGGCTCCATTTTTGACGGTATTCAGCGTCCGCTTAAGGATATCAACGAGCTGACGCAGTCCATTTACATCCCTAAGGGTGTGAATGTGCCCTGCCTTGCCAGAGAAGTCAGTTGGGAGTTCATGCCCCAGAATGTTAAGGTTTGTATAGATTTATACTAGTTAGAACATACGGGTTATCTCCAAATGGGGTAGTCCGAGAATTCAGACCTCTGGCTGCAGCGTTAAATTTAAATAGAATTCTAATATTGGTGGTTTCTGTCATTGTTTCAATCCTACTCGGAGTTATTCGCGAAATGAATACTGGGTATGACCACGTGATTTCATTTTATATTGGTATTTGCCCTTATTTGTGTTTTTAAAGTAGATGGTCTTGGTAGTCATCGTCGTGTTTAGACTTTGTAAAAATTCATTTAAGGGGAATGTATACGCTTCTATAAAATTCCGGATGATATTCAAAATTTGCCATTTACAAGGTTTAAAACTATAGTGAAACAAAAACTTTACCCTGAAGGTTATTATACAGCTTCGGCATACTTGTATGACAAAATTCCGTGCTAGTGACCTGTTTAGGTCTAGCAGGTATTCTCGATCTAAGATGTTTGAAAAAAATATTCTAAATGATAAATGTATTCAAATGTAGAGCAATCCCTAGAGATTTTTCCATAAACAAGTTCAAACATTCTTCTCTGGGGAGTCTGCCTTACGAATGAGCAGTAGAGTTTAATCAATATGACGATTTTAAGTATAATTTCCTTACCTATGAAATAAAGATGATTTGTTAATTTAAGCTTTTATTATCTTTCTGTCAGTTGGGATCACACATCACTGGCGGAGACCTGTACGGTATTGTACACGAGAATACTTTGGTGAAGCATCGCATGATTATGCCGCCGCGCGGGAAGGGTACTGTCACTTACATCGCGCCTGCCGGGAACTACAAAGTCACCGTATGTATATTGTCATACATATGTGTATATGTTTTAGAGCTCCTTGTGAAAGAGTTCGTCCAGGGTAGTACTGCCACCTTACTTATTGCTGCCGCTAAGCAGTAATGTCAGCATTACTTTTGAAGGGTAAGGGTGCTGGTGAAATTACAGGCACATGGGACTTGTTAAGTTGCGTCTCAGGGTGACGTGCGCAGTGGTAGTGCCCCTCAGATCTTTGCAATTTAAAGCTGTTATGGACAGGCGTGTAGCTTACCATTAGGCGCACGACTTGTTCGTCCCGTCACTTGAAATTATAAAAAAACCATTACCAACAAAAAATGAATGATTTTTAGTGTGTAAAAAATACTTGACTGTCATGTAAACGCAGATAAAATTATATAAATGAATGACTTAATTTCCTTTGTAATTTTCTCTATGTTTGAAAGGTTGCATAAACTTTCACATTAGTGTACTTAACTAATGTGAAAGTTTATCTAATTTATATTTCAAATAAATTACGGTTTTAAAACAGGTGATTAAACAAACCTGTTTGAGATGAATACAACTTTTTAATTGTACTTTTGCCATATATGCTGCATTTTCTTATGTATGTACATTATGTTATTTTCATCATACAATGTTTTACGACATTGAACTAAGAATTAATCTTAGGTTACATCATTCGTTTTTCACTGTGTACTTTGCTTTTTTATAAATTACAGAGATTTTATTGAATAAGTGACATTAATCATTGTTGGACAGGACAAAGTGCTGGAGACAGAGTTTGATGGTGAGAAGACTTCATACACCATGTTGCAAGTGTGGCCTGTGCGCCAACCGCGCCCTGTCACCGAGAAGCTGCCCGCTAACCACCCTTTGCTTACTGGACAGCGTGTGTTGGATTCACTTTTCCCGTGAGTATTTTACGGTATTCGTAATATATTAACTCCTCGTTACGATAAAAAGATTCATGACGCAGTGCAACAATAATAGTAACTGAAGCCTTTGTAATTGTAATTCACTTGCTGTGGCCTACAGATGCGTCCAGGGTGGTACCACGGCTATCCCCGGCGCCTTTGGTTGCGGCAAGACTGTCATCTCGCAGGCCCTGTCTAAGTACTCCAACTCTGACGTCATCGTCTACGTCGGTTGTGGAGAGCGTGGTACGTAATTTTAATTATTTTTTCTACTATTTTGTGTAGTATCAAAATATCAGAAGTGGGATGTATCTTGTCTATTAATAATGTACTACCATTTTTATTTAATTGGCGACACGTAATAATTAAAAAAATATTGTGAGTGGAATTTTTATAAGTCGTTTGTACGTTTAAATAAACAATGCTTATTTTTCTTGTTATTTATTAATGCGATACCCGGCAGAACTAGGAAACGAACTTTTTTAATGTACTAGTTGTTGGGGATGGTATCTTACCTTTGTGCGTGTTCAAAGCACTAATGAAACCTTGATGTGCTAGTCCAATGTTCGTGCTTGAGGTACAGGTGTTGAATATAATATTTAGAACTTTTTGTTCCTTGATCAATGTGATTTTAAATATATGAATATACTCTGATATTTATCTGATATTGGATGACTCGCAAGCGGAGCAAATACCTATCGGTGGGTAACCCAGGTCGATAGAAAAAAGGCCCTTATTTATTGAATCGTGTGTGCAGGTAACGAGATGTCTGAAGTACTGCGTGACTTCCCTGAGCTGACGGTGGAGATCGAAGGCGTGACGGAGTCCATCATGAAGCGAACAGCCCTCGTCGCCAACACCTCCAACATGCCTGTCGCCGCCCGAGAGGCCTCTATTTATACCGGTATGACGTTCAGAAATGACACTTTTGTCAATTTCCAATACAGTATTTAAAAAAAAAATATTTGTATCTAACGAAAATCCTCTGAAATACGAGAAAGTACTCTGTCCCTGCGTTACATAAAATTTAAAGTATAGTACACAGAACCTCTGTGCTCGTGCTGTAGTCATTGCTTACATTACTTTGTACACGAAAACACGAGCTTTAAATTTGACGTGAAAACGGGAAAGCAGAGTTTGAAGTGATAATTTTTGTGATAATTATTTTGAAATTTATACAATTAATTGGAACAACAGAATGCTACCATTAGCAATGTCGTGCCATGTGTTTGTATTCGAGACGTAACCAAAGATGTCAAATGTCAATCTCAAAAAAAGTCCCCACCAAATAGTTTGCTCAAAGAATTTTCATCGTGCTTATTTAGTTTTAGTTTTTATGTAGTTCGTTTTTATTTAGTGTAGGTAATTACTGTATATATATCCGATAATTATTATGATAATTATTAAAAAAAAAAATCTTGATAATTTCCAATCGGGAAAGTATTTTTTATTATGAGTTTTCTCACATATTTGAGTCATTACGTTTACTGTACTAGCAGAATCATTTGGCCCGCAGGTATCACCATATCCGAGTACTTCCGAGACATGGGCTACAACGTGTCCATGATGGCTGACTCGACGTCGCGTTGGGCCGAGGCCTTGCGTGAGATTTCGGGTCGTCTGGCTGAAATGCCTGCCGATTCGGGCTACCCGGCCTACTTGGGTGCTCGCCTGGCCTCCTTCTACGAGCGCGCCGGCCGCGTCAAGTGCCTGGGAAATCCTGACAGGGAAGGTGGGAACCAGTCATTCCTCGTCGATTTATTTCAAACTACGAATTAGCCTATTCGGTTCAGAGTGTGTCGTTCTAGGAGACAGAAACCACTAAATATAATGACGTAAGATTACTGGTACCTTTAAACTCTAGATTTCCTAATATATCGTTAATGTTATTTTTTGTTTTTTATAATATCAAGTGACAGGACGAACAAGTCGTGCACGCCTGTCCATAGTTGCAGTGCCACTCAGAGCTTTTAATTGCAAAGATCTAAAGGGCGCTGCCACTGACATAAGTTGACAAGTCCCATGTGCCTGTAATTTCACCTACACCCTTGCCCTTCAAAACACGAACATAGTAATGCTGACATTACTGCTTGGCGGCAGAAATAGGTAAGGTGGCAGTAGTTCCCTGTACAAATTCTTTCACAAGGGACTCTATTACTACGAATGTAATTTAAATGTAATAATGTAAATTATCGATGTCCATGTCTTTATAAATCATGATTACTTATTTGAGGATAACGACTAGCATTCTATTGTAAAAAGTTTTAATCAAATCGGCTACAAGATCTTTTTATGGGCGTTTTATATTCGTTTAACCCCAACGCAGGATCCGTGTCCATCGTCGGAGCCGTGTCACCTCCCGGTGGTGACTTCTCCGATCCCGTAACTGCCGCTACCCTGGGTATCGTCCAGGTGTTCTGGGGTCTCGATAAGAAATTGGCCCAGAGAAAGCACTTCCCCTCCATCAACTGGCTCATCTCCTACAGGTATCTAGAGCTTGTTGATATTTTGTAGACATATGTACCATGTTAGTTGAATAAATATCAAAGTATGAAATAGAAATATAAAACGCGAACACATTTCGGAATGAATATTCTGCTGTTAAAGACGACAACAATATTATCAAACATCTAGTGGCTCTTAGGTCAAGAACACTTGTAAATGTAACTGCCTTCGTGGCCGAGCGGTTGCCATACTGGTCTGCCACGCAGAGGCCCCGGGTTCGATACCTGGGCCGGGAGAAATATTTGTGACCTACATTTATTTCTCTCGTGAGTTTAGGTGTAATTGTGGCTGTTTATAGTGCGTCCATGGCATCCGCGATACAGGATTTCCCTGGCTATGAGTGTGTCCGCTATTGTTCTGTAAACAAAATTATCATTAATTTCAGTAAATACATGCGCGCTCTGGACGACTTTTATGACAAGAACTACGCCGATTTCGTGCCGCTTAGAACTAAGGTGAGGATAAATTAATTAATTACAACTCTTTTATAAAAAAAACCGGCATCAAAAGTTCGTGGAATTACATCTATTTTATTGTAATCGGTTACTGGAAAGTGCGTGAAACCGGATTCATCCCCTAGTTTGCTACTCTTAGAGGTAGAATATTATTTTCAAATATAAATAGGACCTATACTGAGGTACCATCTTTCCAATAAAAAAGAATCTTCAAAATCGGTGCACAAATCTAATCGCATAACATACATACAAAAAGAAATACAGTCGAATTGAGAACCTCCTCCTTTTTTGAAGTCGATTAAAAAGCCGTTTATATCTCTAGCAGCCTCTACTAGGAGTTTACAGCGAGTTGTCGCTGGCCGAAATATTTGTTATTTTTGTTTAGTAAAAAGTCCAGCGCCTTTAGCGACTTCGCTGCAATATAAAAGGAGTGACATTTTACATATATATTAGTATTGTTGCTTGATATTACGAGTTAATGCCGACTAAACATCGGTCTAGTGTTTAGTAAGTAATTCTTATAACGGTATGTGAGATTGGTGAGTTTGAATGTAAAGCCACGAATTTGTAAGTCAATTTGAAATTCCTATAGCCATGTCGATACCTCCAATGTACACTATACCAACGAGTTTTTGGACCTGTTCTGTTTTTATTTTGTTTTTTCTTTTTTTGACAAAATTCCATTTTTTTTTCGATTTTTTTTGTGTTCCTTTTTTTTCCACAAAATTCGGGGAGCATAATATTAGTAAATAAATATGGCTGTATATAAAAATATCAGAAACTGACCAAAAAATACTGTTGGCGTAGTGTTCATTGGAAGTATCGAGGTGATCGGATGCTGTACATGCTAGCAAATAGTGGGCTAAGTTAATAATCTTGTTGGGAGAAAGCTTGCTTTCCATGCAGTAGGTTGCGAATTGGAGTTTGGCCACTGAGTAGTTTTGATTCGTATGCAGTTCAGAGGACATAAGAAGTTCCCAGTCTACAAAGGCCCAGTGACCGGCAGTACAACTTATATTATACGATATATATAATTAAAGCCCATTAAGCAAACATATGGTAACCTCAGGTGAAGGAGATCATGCAGGAAGAAGAGGACCTGTCCGAAATCGTGCAGCTGGTAGGCAAAGCGTCCTTGGCCGAGACCGACAAGATCACGCTCGAGGTTGCTAAGCTTCTCAAGGACGACTTCTTGCAGCAGAACAGGTACACACAAAATCCAGTTTACAAAGTATCTTACCTTCTGGACTAACTTTCATAACTAGCATTAGACAAATTTTTCAGGCCAACGTGTTTTCGGTGTTAAATGAATTCTATCGAGTTGCGATTGTTACACATGGGAAAGAACTATTTTTCCGGATTAAAATTGCGTATATTTGTTTTTTCAAGCAAACCAACGTTTCGTCATCCGTGATCACGGGACCTGTAAAGGGCCCGAAACGTTGGTTTGTTTGAAAAAACAAGTAAACGCGGTATAAATCCGAAAAAAAGAATTTAATTTCTTAAATGAATTCTGTCAATGAATTGTAGATATTCGACGATTTTCGCTTTTGATAGCTATTCTACAGGATTTATCACGGAGAGCGTGCGGTGGAATTGTATAATTTAATTTTGCTTTTCCATCGGGGTAATCGGGGTCATCTACTAGATCCCTGTTGTGGATATGTCAAGGATTCGCACGTTTCGCTTCCACATTTATATGTTGAATGGCTACGGACTGGAATACCCTGGCTGGAAACTTATTCAGTGAACGTTATAACTTGGATCTTTTCAAGGCGAGAGTGAATAGACATTATTAGGTGTGTTTGCTCCTATTTAGGTGTGTATGCTCTATCGCCGACCTCACCGTCACTTTCCATCAGGTGAAATGGAGGTCAAATACGCACATTTTTTTTTAAAATATGAACGAGACCTTATTTACTATAAAATATCGGATGTATCAACTAGGAGCGGACTATATACATTCTTCTTCTTATAGTGACGATGCTTCTTTTATTTAAGGACTACATTGACTATGAATTGTTGTTACCACCTTTAAGGTGATTTTCCACCGGCGAGGCGAGACGAGACAAGACGAGATTTGAAATTTGTGTGACAAAATTTCAACTCTTTCCTAGCCCATCTTCAGCGGAAATAGTCTGTATTGACGAAAATGGGCGAGGCGAAAATTTAAATATTTGTTGATATTACATTGAACCGTATTTATGCCAAAATAGAGTATACACTCTGTAACGGGAACACTATTTCCCGCGAGCTCTTAGGCAATTTTTGGTGGAAATAGGCCGGCGAGATTTCACTCTCCTCGTCTCGTCTCGTCTTGCCTCGCCAGTGGAAAACTATCTTTACGGTGCTATCCGTGGCCGCGTAGAGATCTCCTCTTGTACAGGTATTAGAGCATGGGGAGCATGAGCAAGTGTTGCATGGACTGTGTTGGGGCACCGCAGTCACATCGGGTTAGACTAGCATCCCTGAATCCCCATTTACACATATTGTCTCTCTACAACACACCTTGGTGTGAAGTCGATTCAAGAACTTCCGCACTGGCCACCGCACATCGCAATCGCCCTCTATCATTAGTACCATAATCGACATTCTTAGTGAAATTGAGTTATTGACACATCTGGGATCGGCGGAACGAGATCTACAACCCCGTCTAATCGGTTTTATTGTTAAGCAAAATTAATTAAATTATTAAAAATTAATTAATTAAGGCAGCGTAATTGTCATTTTCTATTAGCAAAAAAGAACTTTAGGTGCCAATATCTAGAAAGTTAAGTTAATGACATGGAGGGCAGATCTGGTGGTAGTTGCTCTTGAGGGATGATGGAACCAGGTGGTGAGGGCTTTTCTGCCCTATATATCTATATATCATATATATTATAAGTAAAAGAAAATAACGATACCTAAACGAATTTTCCCAGTTACTCGGCGTACGACCGTTTCTGCCCATTCTACAAGACTGTGGGTATGCTCAAGAACATCATCGCGTTCTACGACATGGCGCGACACGCGGTTGAGTCCACGGCGCAGTCCGACAACAAGGTGACGTGGAACGTCATTCGCGACGCCATGGGCAACGTGCTTTACCAGCTTTCCTCCATGAAGTTCAAGGCATGTAGCACCCACACGTACAGTAATCAAAAATAGCTGAACAACTATAGTTCATTTCATATGAAATATAAAAAGAACATAAATATTTCTATCGCCTTTTTTTCTTTCTTTTCAAACTTAGAAAAAAAACCATTTTCTATGTGTACCAAAGTTTAAAACTCGATATTTGTGTTCTTTTTAAACTGTTGAACAAATGTGCCGTTAGCGCAATGAGTTATTTCCAGAGCCGAACATTTTTTATAAGGTCGACTCGCGGGGACTGTCTATGCGACGGACTTCAGACAAAATGACCGAACAGTGTACACGTATTTCTGCTTTTTTCGGAACAATACATAACGATTTACCCCGAAGAAATGTCCGAAAAGTAAACGATTGACGAAAAAGGGTTACCTATCAGTAGTCCGAAATGATCTTTTCCAGAAATAAAGTTTGCTGGAATTGTCATAACCTCGAAAGTAATTTTGAGAGGAAAATGTTTTTTCTTTTAAACCTAACTTAACCGAACCTAATCGTGTCTTTGCTTTCGTTTCGGTTTTCGGTGTAAAGAAAATTCGAACAAACGTTATTTCGGAAAAAAAATTCGAGTTTGTGGTAGGTTACCACGAAGAAGTTATAATCTAAGATCTGACAGTATGGCTAATTACAAGCCTTAGCCTTTACTACGTCTATGTAACGCCGCTAATAAGCGTAATAAATGAGAGTCCATTTAACGCATTTCAACATAACAATAATATCGTACACTCATAGCCCCGCACTAGGGAAACCCTGAATCGCGGGTGCCATGGACACACATAGACAACCTCAAATACACCAAAACCCACGAGAGAAACAAATGTAAACCCGATACCTCCGCGTGGCAGACCAGTATGGTAACCGTTTGGCCACAGAGGCAGTTAGCATGGTGGCGTTACTTACTTTTATTGTTGTTGTTTTCTTTTCAAACATAACAACAATATTTCGGACTCTTTTCAGGTCCCGTGGTCAAAGCTGTCAGCCAAGAATACAAAATGTTAATGTTCAAGACAGTTTGCCAAATGTTATTGTTTCTTTATCAATAGATATTGTGGTATTGTCAACAGGACCCAGTGAAAGAAGGCGAGGCTAAGATCAAGGCGGACTTCGACCAAATACTAGAGGACATGTCGGCTGCCTTCCGTAACCTGGAGGACTAAACTAGCTCCCCACCATAGCGCACACCGCGGTGTTGTCAACTCACCCCATGGGGGTAGCCACTATTGTAAAACAAACAACGACAAGCTGAATACAGTTCCGAAGATCAAGTTCTTAAAATAAAAATAAAAAACTTATTAACTCGTTAACTGTTAATTGGCAACCCCGAAGTAAATACCACCAATGGTAGTGTGCCATTTAAAATCTTTGTTCGTTATTGGTTGGAAATTAAGATATTTATTGTTCGGAATTTAAATGTTTAATAGCTGTCCGTTAATGAGACCATGTAATAATAGGGTAAGGATAATAAAGTGGAAATTTAAGCGTTGGCAACACCGAGATTGTTACAATTTTAGACATAATTTTACGTGTTAAATCTATGTAGAAAGTGCATAGGATATATTATTCGTATTTCAATCAATATCGTGATTCCAAGCTATTGTTGAATTTCAAATATGCGGCGTTGGGCGTCCCTTGTACATACTCCACCTGTCTATGTGGCCCAGCGGCGCCGTTACTTAGTTGTTATTTATATTAATAATTAAAAGAATATACTATTTATATACATCAAACAATTTATTTGCCCATTGATATTTTTTTTGCGTGATTTTATGATCAAAAATGGAACCCTCTTTGCATTCCACGTTATTTTTTAGAGTATTAGAGTGTTCAATGAATCAGAGTTTTTTAATTATTGCTTTTTATTGAAGTTTTAACCTTTTGTTGCCCCTTGGTGGCATTTCATGATATTTGTGATTTCAGTATTAATTTCGTTGCACTTGAATCGCTCGCCTAAAAGTAGTAATAATAATAAGTGTTCGGTAATGCTAAGGCGTGTACAAATAACTATGTTATTCGCAACATTCTCGCTGTTCGAGCCGTGAACCTTAAATGTTAAAGACGAGAGTTATAAACAATAAAAGATGTAAACTACATTTGGACTTGTTATTTGAAATCCTATTTAGAATATAAAGTTTTTAATAGTAGGCGCGTTACAAATGAGGCCATCATCACAAAAGTTTTTTTACATTCATTTTGTTTTTCTACAGCATTACTTTAAATGATACTTCTTATCGTATCAATGACATACATTATACTATAGTGGCCCAGAACTCGCCCACGCTGAGCGCGTCACTAGCAGCCGCCATTAAATCTTCAAGCAGGTGCAGGTGTTGGGGCAATTAAAAATTAAATGATACTGAAGTAGGTATTTTATATTGGGATGTTATTTTTATATAATATATATATAGTAATATTGTAGAAAAAAAGTTGTTGTAATTTTCAAATTAGTTTTCTCTACGCATATAAGATCATTGTCTCTACATGATTTTGGTGGTAATTATTGTTATTTAAGTATTCGAATATTTTATCGTTTAAATAATATTTCAGGATACCGCTTTCGAATATTAAATAATACTTCATTCTAATGGTACTTCAGTCTAATATTCTAGAATATTTCAATAATAGAAATTGCTACCGAAATTAGACTGAAAATTACCCGGTCACATCAGTTGCGCGGCCGTTTATTGGTGGTCATACTAGCATGTCATACTGATATGACCACAGATTACTATTTAGACTTCACCAATAGGAATTGTTGGTAATGGTCATTGACTTACAATTATAGTAATGGTGGTTATATATTTTATTCTTTTGATTCTGGCACCTCTGCGGTTTGCGTTTGTGCTACTGCAAAACGGGGAAATTTATTTACGGAAAGCAATGGAAAGGAAAAATAATTTGGAAGAAAGGGTCGGGGAAGTGCGATTAAGGTTACATAAAAATACGTACCTAAACATAAAAAATATATGACAAATGTAATAAATATCTACAGCTACCAGTCCTGGCGAGAGATTTATTTATAGTCAGCATCATGTCAGAATTAACACCTTGGAGGCAAATTTGCTTGATTGTACAATCTCGCTTAAAATATAAAACATTTAAAGACATTGTCTTGAAGAAATACAAAGGCCGCTATAAAAAAAACTAATGATCTCTACCACAGACCACATAATTCCGTGATCTCTACATAGTTTTTGTTTTTGAACTAAAATGTAAAGCGATGAAAACTTCTTGTTCTGAATTCTTCTTATACCTCCTCGTTTTGATACAAATTGGCATTCCTAGATGAATATACCTTTGGCATTTAAAAAAATGCTGCATCAATAATCGAACATTGTATTGAATTTAGTATAATATCTATGCAGCATTGCCTTTCAAGATTTTATTCAAAGAGCATTGAAGATAACTTGTGTTCAAATACGAAGCATTTATTGTTATTTTATGTAATTTATCAAAGCAGCGTTTTTGAAATCATTGTTTACTTTTTGTAGCGTAATTTATATAACAAAATGGTGGACCTACCTCGAATCCAGAATAAGTAAGTAACTTATATTATTTTTACGATTATTATTCTATTAAAAAAAATTGACGCGCAGGCCACAACGTGAACGAACAAACTAACTTAGTTTGGCTCACGTAGTTGCATGCAACCAATCTTGCATCTTTTTTCCATCCTCTAAAGAGTTGCATGTAAAGCTATGTTAACATCATATTGTGTTATTAGTTATGTTATTATCTTAGGATAATCACAGTACAGAGTACTAAAAAACTGACCTCAAAATTCATTCATCCCCTAGTTTCCCACCCTTAGAGGTAGAATATTTTATTCAAATTTGAATCGGACCACATCTGAGGTACCCTCTTTCCAACAAAAAAAGAATCTTCAAAATCGGTTCACAAACGGTAAAATAGGGATTATTATAGATATGTGCGGGGGTGAAGGGCGGCGGAAGGGCAACATAGCTAGCGGGATCATGGGTTAGTTTAGTTAGCTTAATTCCCTGTGTGGCCTGTGCATAAGTAAAATCGAATCTGCTGTATGCATTTTTTA